TGACATGCAAATTTGCCTCTCGCGCGCATACCGGATACACGTATGTTACATGTGCGTGTGTACGCGTATCCATCGCGGTGCCACGGAAATACGACGACGTAACGTGCACAGCGAGTTACAGCGTTGTAAGATTACATCCCCTCGTCGCCCAACATCGTGTTTAGCTCACTTCGGAAATGTAGAATCGATTACGAATATTATATTACACTACTACTTTTCAGACGCATTCTGTTATATATGTTTGTCTCGTTTTTAATTATAATTAGAAGCACATTGCTATTTTTATAAAGATAAAAAATAAAAATTATATTATAATTTTTTATCTTGTTAGCATAAATAAACATAAATAAATAAATTTTTATTCAAGGAAAGGACATTTTTAACGTCTGCAAAATTTCTAGTAAAAATATTCTGCAAATTGTAATTTTAAAGTAAAGATAAAAGCATAATGATTTCTTCCTTATATTTTCCTTTCTTTTATCTGTAATATATTTGCAGATTTTAGAACTACGGAGGATCGACGACACGTTCGTCCGTTCGTAATAAAATGAAAGGGGAAAGGCCGGGAAGTGTCGACCAGAGGGGTGACGCATCCCCTAGGCAGTACCGGGAGAGAAATATTCCCTGCTTTCACGCTCTAACGATATAATAAATCCCATGATGTTCACGTCGCGTCCGCGAAGTGCTCCTTTAATTTGCGAACCGCGTTTAACTTTGTAGCGAAAGTAATGGCTTTGCTTTGATTATCATTCGTATCTCATTGAAAATATAACCCGCTATTTATCCGCGAAAATATCGCTCTCATTAATCCGTCTATATACATCCCGAAAATACGGGAATTCAGAAATGAAGTTACATGAACGCACGGACGCAGACAGTTCCATTTCTCTCAATTTCCGAAATATCCAGTTATATTGTTGTCCTACCAACATTTCGAAACTCTGCACGTTCTATCGCGGCTACGGTGTATCTTGGCGTTGCGTATTGTTCATACAAGAAGTCCGTGCAGAAACTGTATTGCCGACTATAACATAAATATTGTTTCACATATCTACATACGTCGAAGCGAACGACTTCGCATAGCGTATCGTTACCTTGTATATTCTGTCAACGCTGTCATCATCACCGTCGCTTTCGCCGTTGCTACCGCAGTCGTTCTCTTCATCGTCGTCGTCGTCGTCGTCGTCGTCGTCGTCGTCGTCGTGCATCCGTATCGCATCTATACATCGCGTCGCGTCGAGGCACTCGGGCCAGGAAGTCGCGTCAAGTTCGCTAATGGGATTTACATCTTGACTCACTTCAGGCAGCCGGCGAGATCCATGACGCATCTTCGAGACACGAAGCGACGACATCTGCCCCAACCGTTTGACAAACTAGATAATAATAATTATCACGACCCCTTTCCAACCTGTTATTTCAAGAAATGCATAAATCGCAATTTGTCAGACGTGCGAAACTAGCAAGTCGAACTTTCTTATGAATTCGAGGCAGTTCTTCAAGGTGTGCGTTGCACAAATCGATCGATCGCCAAGGAAGATGTTAATTAATTCATGCTGTTTCATAATAAAAATACGCTCCAGATAACGCGCACTCGTCAAACAGAAATTGTTTCCTAGTTTCCTTTGATATATGCAACGTTGACAAACAAACACCTAGTTTTTAGAGGTGAAGGAAAGAAACGATCATTTAAAAAATTAAAACACATTTAATAATGCAATTTTTATTACATGCAGAAATATAATTTATTATTGTAATTATATTTCTGTATGTAAAAGTTGCATTATTAAATGTGTTTTAATTTTCTTAAAAATGCTTTTCAAAGCATTCTTTTAATATATGTCATTATTAATTATAAGGAAAAGTTTATATGGACAATTCAAACACAAATTAATTAATTATAGCCACAATTCTGATAAATCTAGTTGTGAGAATAGTTACTTTTTGTTAATTCTAACAGAGAAAAAACCACTTTATATTCTATCATAAATATATATAATTTCATAATACTTTCTTAATATTTTAGTGTCTAATTATGAATGTCAACTAAATTTCATGAGCCGAAATTAATCAATAAGTAAGAGCACAAAACAATTTTATACTGAGAAAAATGGTTGAATTAAATAGCAATTCCCTTGGAAAATGAACGAATCAGAATTTTCTGGTTAAGTCTACTAGAATTCTAATTGAGATAACTAGAAATTCTGATTGATATCATTATTCTGGTAAAAATAAGAATGTTAGTAGATTTTACCAGAAATATTGTATCAACCAAAATTCCGGTTATTTCAACTAGAATCCTTATAAACCAGAAAATTCTGATCTATTTTCCGTCTATTTTCAACCAAAAATTTTTGTCAGTGTAAGAAAATTTAATTATTTTGCAACTTAAAAATTAAGAAAACATAAACTATAATAATTTTTCTATCGGTATTTTGTATCCTTTAGGAAGATAATTCAAATAAAGTGTATAATATGCACTAATTGCGAGAAGTTCAGTTGAATAATATCAACGATTCGTCATCAAAGCGTCGACATTTCCGTGTTATCACACAGAAATATTTCGCTGTTCCTACTATACTCATGTTCAGATATTTAACAATCGTTTGCAGGAGCTCTGTCTAAGCAATCCTCTTTTTGCTAGCATAATCGCCAAAGCTCCAGTGAAGCTCAAGAGACGGCGGTCCGCCTTTTGCTTTTCGCGCGCGAAGGATTAACTCCGTCCGTCCATTCTGCATGAGCTTTTTCGTCCGCACGCGGCCGAACGGGTGCATGACCGGGAAGGGAAAAAAAGAAAGATATGGGCAAAGAAAGAATGGATTAGAGGGAGAACCAAGAAAATAAAAACGAAGAAATACGTGGAAGGGACACCTGAATGAGAGATGTTGAAAGGAGAAGCACTATCAGGAAAACGAGCAAATTCACGTTCTTCGTCGTATGTGCGTCGCCGCGGTAAAGTATTCAGCTAACCTCCTGCCCACTTCCCCTGGAGAGCAGTCCCGTGGCAACCCCCCTTTTTCCTTTTCCACTTACAGGGCATATAATTCCCCTTGCGCTCGTGCATCATACACTCACTTATTTTTGCGCTACAATGAACCAGGCGGACGTGGTGGTGGTGGTGGTGGGTTAAGCTCAGAGGCGGTTAGCAGCACCGCGAAGAGAAAGAGAGAATGAGAGAGACCAAGTATGAGGGATGAATAGAGTAAGAGAGAAAGAGAAAGCCAGCAAGAAAGGGGCGAGAAAGGAAGCGCGACCCTACGAGCCCACGCCCGGATAAATTATTACTTTCGTCCTTCGTGAAGCAATATCTGTGCTAATAGGAAATCACGAAGGGCTTCTGGGCCTTCCTGCTTTGCGCGCCCTATCGTTCTCTCCGCGAATTCCCTTCGTAACGAAGCCAGCCAACCGGCGACAGCGACGACGAAGCGCGAAGAAACGATCGCTATTCTTTTCATTGCGGCAGTAAAAGCAAGGTGAGAGATTACGATCGTCGAGCTAAGTGCGACGGCTCCTATTCATGATGACTTTGTGGTGCGTCAGCTCCGATTGGGAAAATCGACGTGACCAATAACGGAGCGCGAATCATATAAAAAAATCGCGTGATCGTAATTTGCCGGTATATAAACACTGATATAATTACTATGCAAAATCTCAATGATATTTTGATATTCTAAAAAGAGATTAGAATCGAAATGTAAAAATATCAATATTTTTATGAATTATTAAATTCACAAGGAAACAACATTTTCCCTTCCTTTTGATAAATTTTCAATATGTTGTAGTCTAAACCGAAATAGCACTTTTAGGAGGTGAAACACTCCTGGGAAGGGTTTTCTTTCGAATCGAATATTATTGAAACTATAAAAGATACAAAAAAAATTGTTTGAATAAAAGTTGAATGATTGTAAAAGTATTTTATAATAAAAATGAAAAAATAAAAAATATTTGTACTTTTTTTTTTATAAAAAAACTTTTTTATTAAAAAATTGTTGCTATACTATTATTATAAAATACTTTTGAAACTATTCAATTTTTATTAAAAAATTTATTCTATCTATTATATTATAGTTTCGACAATATTCGCTTCGAAAGAAACTCATTAAGTGTTTCACTTCCTAAAAGTTATATGAATTCTATAAAAAAACGTCCCTTATTTCGATTTAAATTGCAACATGTTAAAAGCTGATGAAAATCAGAGGAGAAACTTCCTGTGTTTCCTTGTTAACAGTCATCGATATTAGAATTCGTGTTCACTCCCTAATTACACTTGCACATATCCGATTTACTTCCTGTTACTGATTCTTACAACTCGGAAATTGTTCCATTTTCAAATGTATTAATATAATATGTAATTGATTAACATTTTAATATAACTTACACACACACACACACACACACACACACACACACACACACACACACACACACACACACACACACACAACACTTTACGCACAGAATACTTGACAAAAAATGTAAGGAATGGTATCTTCATTGTGTTCGGAAACAATTTTTTTACAAATATCTTTTCATTGTTATTTCATTTTTTTACTTATGATTTATAAGTTTATTACTATCTTATAAATTTCAAACAACTGTATCGAAATCTGTTGCCATATAAAAAAATGAAATACATCGATAAATGTTTCATGGATATAAATTTACTTTCCAGAATTGCATATTGTTGCTAACGTATTACAGATTATCTATTTTTAATTAACAGATCTGTATGATACTGTATTTATTCATGCATAATATTCTTATACTCTTTAATATTATTAACTTAATTTAATATACATTTCTATACATATTATGTGTATTCAACACAATTTGTTTTTACAGATCTATTACTTTACTTAAAAAAAACTGTAAAATACAAATATATTCAAATCGTAGTAATTTCTACAACAAAAAAATTGTTTCAGAAATAATTGTGCGCATATAAAAATTATCAACCATAATTAATTCTACGTAACAAACAAAATAACAAATAAATTACTTACCCATGGTTGCTCAGCCGTTTCTCGATACCTCCTAGGTTTCCTCCTCCTCTCTTGTACTATCATTGTTGTTCCTTTGTAGCACTCACGCCATGATCACTGGTGAAGAAAAAATTAATTACGATCAGATACTAATAATAATCAGAATCTGACGATCGTATTCTTTGAATAGCACTGTTAACACACACAACGCGAGAAAAGTAAGATCGTATAAACTACGCTTGAGATCAGCAATATTTTTTATAAATTAGCTACAGAAACTTCAAAGGACAAATTTTGAATCATAAATCAACGACGTATGCCGAATTTATATTACATGCTTAACTTAAAATAACGTTAATAAATGTTAAAATAACGTTTATTGCTTAATGCATTGCATTATTAACTTCAATTTGAAGTTATTCAACTAATACATTGCTTCGAATTCTCAATTTAAAAATGATTTAAGATAAATTATATTTAACTCGGCGATAAAATCCAAAATCCATTGTGAGTTATATATTATACATAGATCTTATATATATATATATATAGGTACATAAAGCCAACCAACACATGTTCAAGTAAATAGTTTATTTGAACGTGTGGTTGGTCTAAAAGGTAATTAAGAAATAATTATCGCCTATTATCACAATAAAACAGTAATTTATAAATTCCATTTCATAGTGTTACGGTTGCTACTCCCAACTTACTCGCTACTTCCAACTTATATGTACTGTGTGTGAAATATCTATTTTATTAAATCGTTGCCAATATACTTAATCGTGAAAGTCAGTTACTCATGTAATTGGTATTTGTTAATAGAGAACGATATATAAAATGTACTTTGCGCGAAATATACCTATACTGAACAGTTCCATTGTCTGATTTTGTTCAAGCATTGGCACACGAATGATAATAACGATGTCAACAAGTCCATTGCCGTTATGAAATATTTCTATAAAAAATACTTCGAAATATTTCTAGGATTTATAACGTATTACTGTACGAAAGATTTTTCTTGCTAAGTTTTATCCTAGCATTCAAGTAACAGAGATAAAAGACTCGTCTTGTTGATTCTATTGAAAAAATCCATATATAAATTAATATTTAGCTGTTATTTTTTTCTAAATTTTCGCAAAATGCATTAGATTGTGTGATCTGAATAAATCAAGAATTATAATTTATACAAATAAAAAACATGAAATTAATTCACTATAAAAATGTTCAGAAAGATAATTCCTTAATTTATTAAAATCATTTCATTCTTTTCATCTATATTTAGAAATAGATATAAATTAATTTTCATTATTCAATCACAAAATAAAAAGATAAATTTCTTCCAAATTTAACAATAAATTTAATAATTCTTTATAATCAATATTTTAATAGATATAATTCAATATTTTTTTCCTTTTGACTTTTATAAGAATTTTATAATTATCATTAACAGGATAATTATATTGGTATGCATGTAAGGTTACAGATTTGAACATAGAAATTAATTTAAAGAATGAGTAAATTAGAGCAATTAGGAATCGATGTTGTAATTGCGTTTTCTAAATAACTAACAGATCTTGGTATTTAAAAATGTATATTTCACATTAGTGAATATATTTATATTCATCAAATGTTTGATGGATATATATTCACTAATCTGAAATATATATATTTTTAGATGTTAAGTCTGTTAGTTATTTAAGCGCACCAATTACAGCGCCGATTTTTAATTGTCCTAATTTACACGTCTTTTTAATTAATTTTGATACAAGGAACCTTACTTTGATTTATATATATTTTTGAACATAGAAATTCTACGACATTATTAAATTATTCTTTATTAGTTTAAAATAATTATTGCGATAAATCTGCCTTTAATTAATTTTGGAATACGTTATTAAAGTATTGTATCATGTTTGTGTATGTGTTGTATATGTATATCCTTTTTTAAAAATATATCGAACAAAATTTCTATTTGGATATTTGTAATACTATTATATTTTTTAAAATGTAATTCATCATAATTGCTATAACTGATAATCATAACTTAAAAAGCTGATTCTTTTATTGATTGTAATATAAATTTAATTTTCCTCTTAATATTCATGTTTGTTCACACATATCAAATATTGAATATGCCAGACAAAAGCTAAAGACAATGAATTAATATCGAAAAGTCTGAAAGTCTGCATTTTATTAACGGTTCAATACGTTCCATACAATCAAAAGTATATATCTATCTCATTATTTCTCACGTAAAATTCGATTTATATTTCGTTTGTAAACAAATGAGATTTCGAGTTAATATTCCTACTCGATTGACGTTTACACTTAAAGAATTTCATTATGCATCGCCGGATGACATTATGCAATAAACGAGATGACATTTGGAATAAAAGTTTTTATTATCGCTCTGATACATAAATACCTACGGAAGAAAATTAAATTACTTCATTCGAACCAGTTTACTAAATAGATTATAGATTTTATGATTCGCGATGCATGCGACTTATGACGTTTTTTGCATGAAAAGAAAGCTCTTCAACAAATTACGATTTATTTATTGTTATGATTTAATTAATTCTCGATGTACGTTTCAGAAAATAATCACATGATAATAGATCGCATTAGATTTCCACGAACTATATTGTCAATGAAGTTTATATATAAATCGATTTAACATATATTTATAATACGTTACAAGTAAAAACTTTTATTTTAATGTTGAAATAATTTGGAATTTAAAGAGTAAATGTATATAGGATATATACGTCGTTTTTTTACATTTTTATGAAATAAATTTTCACATTATAAATGAATTTTGAAAGATATTTTGTTTCAATAAATTTCAATCTTATAATTGAATGCCGTGAGAAGTGCCATTATTTAAAATTCATTCATCCGGTCCACGATCATATTGTTTATTACTTATTCGTTACCAAATTAAAGAACACAATCACATTTTAATATCATCACGTATAAAACGTGTTCGTTAAACCAGCTCAATAATGACATAAAAATGGTTCACGTAACTGCTTCGTAGATTGGAAAAATTACTGCCATTAAACGTAGTTATATTCTTCATTTCCGCATTTAAAATAATAACGAGAAGTGAATATATTAACAATTTATTCCAGCATTATTTCGATTGTAATTAAAAACGTTATTTTTCCGGACATTTAATAAAAAACCTAAATTCCTTGACAAAGGGTCAATAACTAAGTACAAAAGAACTGCTATCGGCAAACTGTAAAATGTCGAAATAATTTCCAAACTGAAATCACCGGACGAGTGTCAGGCTACTCGGTGAGTGACGAATCACTGCCTGCCCGCGCTGTCACGAAGCAGTTTTTCCATTCGCATGCCTGCAGGAAACGGTGGAAAGGATGGAGGTAACTAGTTGCGCTTGTATACTTTGGGAACAAAAAAAACCGATAAAAGTCAGAACGCGAGAAACAGAAAGGGATGCGAAACGAGATTCTCGCTTTGCTGTAACCCTTCTTCGCTATAAATTTAAAGTATATTAAAAATAATTGTCTCGGGTCTACTGGATCTCCACATTTATATCTTATTTGATATCGTAAAGAAAAAGACAGCAAAAGAGATGCATCATTTCTCTTATTTCTTCACAGATTATTATTTGATGTAAAACATTGCCACGTTTCTGACGTTTTGTTGATCGTCACGCTATCGATTTCTGTAGTAATAAATGAGTTGCAATATTTAATAACTCACGTGATATTGACTGTTTTGTTTGTTAAAAAAAAAAGCGTTTTAACTCGTACAATTTAAGTAAATCTCTTTTGGGTAATATGAATTTGACTGAAAAATCATGAAAGATGATAATATCATTCTCAAAAATGCACCGAAATTGACCGAATTCTTATCGCCATGAGAATCTCACGGAAGTGTCGCCATGTTAGGTCGGTCCGTATTAGGAACTCTTGGCTATTGGATGTCCGGGGTAGCACAGACGTGATAGGGGTTTGCGCGAACGTAACGCCTAAAGTTAGAGCATAGATACGATCGTGAGTAAGCGGACGCACTTGACTGTAAACGCAGCCACCGTATACTGCATCAGGGATTATACGACCGTTCTAGCGTGGCAGAATCCCGTACCTCGAGGCACCGATATTGCGTAGATACTGCCCTTGGCAGCGAGCTCCAAACTTGATAAAATATTAGTGTTCGCTTTGAGACGACCTCGGACGCGTAGATGTAAAAAGTTAAGTCGAAACGTAAATTATGTAAATTACGGATTTCTGAAGCAATCAATTAAGAGAAATAATCCTATTTTTGATCAAAACGGATCTTAATGCTTAAATATTTCAGTGTAAATTTTTCTCAATCTGAAACATAATCAATTTTGAAAAATTCGAAGATATTATAGAAATATATAAATGCTACACGAATGCTGACTAAAGAAATTGTATGCATTTGAATATGAACCTATATTACAATCGTTATGCAATTATTTTATAACCGTACTGTCCAAAAATATATTTTCACTGTAGCGTCCCATCCGATAATTTAACTGAAAGATTAAATTTAGAGCCGATTTGTACTTCGATAATCCGTAGATGTATTATTTACAATTAAAACGCATCAATATGGAGTTACTTAAATATCGCAAAATTTGATTATTCGCACCGAGTTATTACTAAATACAATTTTATACCGCAAATGTAATGGAAAGTACAAACGGAACAGGTTGCAGCTTTTGTGTATAGAGAGAGAAAGAAGAGCATATAGTATAATACAATCCAAGTAAATGCTATTGTGCATATGCATTTGTAAGAAGTTTTTCGCGATTGTGCATTGAATTGAGGCGATTTTGATTGATAGTAAAATGCAATGTAGAACTACATTTTAAGAGTATATCGACCCGAGTACTCTACATCAAAAATACAAAATACCAATTTACAAAAATCTTAGCGATAATTGTATCAATTTGCTATTTTCTGAAGATCCAATGCAGAAATTTAAATGTGTCACAAACTTCTTTAAAACTTTTTTTATTACGTAAACGAAAAAAGAGAGAACCGTTGCGAATAACATCGAGGATTATGCTGTAAACTTCGGAAGTTTCGCTATCTTGGGTGTAAATAATATATAGACGT